TACATCACGGAGACAGCCAACACACTGACAGAGCTCATACCTGGCAGCGCAGTGAATCAACCACCCTGCGGCTCTCTCTACATGCCAACCACATATCCAGCTGACTCAAGACCGCACGCAACATGATAAAACGGACTCTTTTGAAGACTTTAAAGTATGCGTAGAAACCAATTTAAATGTTAAATAATAGCCAACAAAAACAAAAAGGCTCTAATCTGAAATCCCCACATATTCAGACTCTACAGGGAGGAATTGTGAGGTTTCTTGTCTGCTTGTGGACTCATAGTGACAACAACAAACATGGTGATGCAGCTCTTCTCTGCTGGAAGGAAAGGAAGGGCAGGGGGCTGCCTGCCTGTGTGATCCTCTGGCGCTGTGGGTGAGTACAATGGAAAATAGTCCCCATTGCTAATCCATGGCAGGCTAATTACAGCTTTGATCCCCTAAGCGTGTGCATCACTGTTGGTGGGTGGGAAGGAGGCAACACACTACTGGGCTCAATACCGTTATGGCAAAACTTGTTTTGGCTCAAAGATGTCTCCATTTACTCACAAACGGTGCAGAGGTGGAACCAATGTGCTGTCAAATCTTACATACACTATATTAATACAAAGGTCAAAAGAGTCCTTAAACCATCAGCCAATAGTTTTATGAGCATACAATCCTTCATCGAGCAAATCCACCAGCTTCACAATATGATCCAAAGTCACCAACAAGGTTACCATTTACTCCACTGAGCAGCACATGAAACCCAACTCCTGGAGACATGAGACACAGATTAAGTGGGTAACTGGAGTTTCTGTCTAAAATAGGCCGCAGCTCTGATGATAGCCTAGTCCCAAAACACATGGTGGTGGAAATACAGCAAGGGAGGAGGAGGACAGAGGAGGATGAAGGCTGAGGATGAGCAGCAGATAACTTTGAATTATCTAAAGCTTGAGCTCCACACCTTTGCTCATTATGCCATTAGTGTAATGGTGGCTTATTAGCCTAGACCAATATCACTCCAAGCAGTATCCTTTTAATTTACTGTTTGCTGTCTTGAGCCACAGCAAAATGTCAGTATGGAAGAAGCAATGTAAAAAGTCAGACACAAACATGCTTAGCTTTATGATCACTTTGAAAAACCTCCACCATCTCCAGTTCATAACCTGTGCTGTTTTAAAGGAGGTTTTTTTGGGTTTTCAAGTGGCTTGCATTAGTTATCCCACTATCAATCAGGATCCCCCTCCCCATCTCAATGATAGTCATTTGATGTGTATTAATAAAGCATATTTAAATGTTATTATTTAATGTAGGTGCAGTTACACTAATACTGCTTGGTTGACACTCAGTTCCAAGGCACTTCGGTCAAAGCATACAAATAGACCTCAGCACCCAGTTTTGTTTTGTTTTTTAAATCCAGCCTTACTTTCGTTTCAGTAATTTTTCCTCATGATGAGCTTATCAGTCATCTATTAAACAGCTTGAACAGCCCTAACCTCCATGAATGATGCTATATCAATAAAGTTTGATTAACTTATTAATTGATTGAGCAGCAGAGGCATGCATTAGGTGAATTAGCACAGCATTGTTTAAGTTATTTGTTCATACCTAAGCCATTCCAGCATATTACTATAGGAATGCATCTATGACGGGACCTGAAATCACCTTGAAGCTGCTGCAAGTTTAAGGTTATTATGGTATAAAAGCTTAAAACACACACATAAACAGACTGGCCATGCTAGCGTGTTTCTACACATGGGTTATTTATTCAGAAGCAACGAATCCGCCTTAAAAAAAAGTTATAAATGCAGTCGAGAGTTTTAAACCTGGGACTTCCGCTTGTTTGGGGTTTTTTTTTTCCTTTGGTTTGTTTTTTATATCAATATCAAAATAAAACCGTTTGTTAAAAAAATATGTGCTGCAACGTATTGTGCGATTCAACTACGTATGAATTTATGTTTGTATAAATTGCGGTGGATACATGTAGTTGGTGGGGTAATGTCACAACACAATCACTGTTTAACCTTAAACACTGAAGACACCGTGCAGTCCTAACGGTCACGCAGCTATGTTAGCCAGGTAGTTAACTGCTAGCAAACGGTTGCTCCGACACTGCCACGAAGCCTGAACCTGTACGCCAACGTTAGCTACCTTAGCTCTGCTCGAATGCCGTTAGCACGCCTGTTACAGTCAGCAGCTGTTGGACATCCTCGTTTTTCCATCAGTCGTGACCAGGCCGGGGCTGCTGAGTGCTGCCAGCCTGGCTCCAGCCCAGAGCAATCTGCTGTGTGGTCCTTTTCCTAAAAGACACCCCGCAGACGTTGAAGCCTCCTTGCCGCGGTTTTACATCCACATTAACACAACAACTGTGCTGTGATGTTCCAACTCAGCAGCAGCAGCAGCCCCGGTCTGCGACTACCTGGAAAATCCTTCCTCTTGTAATAGTAAATTAAATACTCACTCGAACTGAAGCTGGTTACAGTGATGCTACACAGTGGCTCTTTTGGGGAACCGGGAACCGTGTTTGGTCAGAGCGGTCACCCAGGTCGTGTATCTTCCCTTCTTCAAATGGTCCCTCGCTCCGCCAGCAGTACCTCCGTATGATCTCTCCACACTGCAATGATGGTGCTGAGACACAGCGAGACACGATTGGCCAGGCTGAACGGAACTCAGTGAGCTTTGGTAAGCAGAAATCTCCGGCGACCTGCAGGGGGAGTAGCAGTGGTGCGTTCAAGCCCATTGGAAAAGTTACAATCAATGGTTTAACACGCTCATATTGCCACAGATAGCCGTTAATTTTTTTTTTTATGTGTATGATTATCCCTCCAGAGTCTGAAACCCACCATAAGCCACTGAATCTGTTTAAGAAAGAAACGATAAAAAAGATAAAGATAAGACTTTAATATCCCGTTGTTACAGCAGTTAAAAAATTAAACCCAACAAACATATGAGATGTGATATCTTAAATAGCCGAATAGTATGCAGCTCAGTAAAACAATACAGCATGACAAAGCATATATCTAGAGAAGGTAAGACTATTGTGAAATCAGAATACAGCTTAATAAATGTAGTGAAACCAGCATAGCAAATACATAACTTAAACAAATATTCAGAGCTTTGCTGTTTAATTTTTAATGAAGAATAATTTAAATTACATTAAATTAACTTTAAATTGTTACAATTTAAACATTATGTTACCAGACAATGTATGAATAATAAAGGGACTTATTACAGAATATTTGCCTCTGACACAGATTTGCCTCTGTGCAACAGGGCAAGCATGACTGTTTTGTTCCACAGTATGAGGGTCCACCTACCCCTTGCTGCAACACTCAGTGGGTGAAAGGTGTTAGACAGGAATCTGTTTCTAAAGGTTTATTTTTACAGAGTTCAGTCAGGCTTCTGGTTGAACCTCGAGAGATTTTACAGACAGAGAAGCAGGATTATCATCCGTAGTGGTTCAGTGTTTAACGTGAGGCTCAAATCTCTCAGCACACGACTATCCCAGCATGACACAGCATGATACACACAAAATCCAAAGAATGAACTAATGTCACTTTGTTGTGGAAAATGCAGTCATAGGCGTTCAAATGGGCAAAAAGATTATTTGCTAAGGGAAAAAATCAGGTTATTGCAAATTATGATCCAGTTAAGTGATACATTTATCTTTTTTCCAGCTTGTATGAGAAATTTATTTTCTCTCTGGTAAAAACAAAGAAACAAAGAAACAATAAAACAAAATTGAAAAAATCTATTGCAATGACAAATTCATATAGCACATTTAATTGTATGTAAAAATCAAAATACTTAACATAGAAGCAAAAACACTTTACAGAGAGTTAAACACAGTTAAATTTAGGCCTGTGAGAAAAACCAAGGTTTTGAGTCTGTTTTTGGATTAGACAGAGTTGTAACTGACCTCAGCACCACAGCTATGCCTGATTTAGACTTCCGCGGGAAATCTGCATCATAACTTACAATGTAACCTCGAAAAGTCCTTTAACCCTTCGCAGCAACCTTCTAAATAACATGAGGTGCACCTCTAAAGACATGTAACCCTACGTTGGGGTCGATGCAGCCGACAACGAATGAGTGGCGTGTGGAAGGTTGCAGCTGACAGCTAAAGGGGGTTTCGTCATAAGTTAGACTGTAAACTTTTCGCAGAAGTCAACCTTAACTGAAAACACCCTCACCGCATTTAGATCTAATTTTGTAACTGATGAACTAGGTTCTCTGCGAACCATATTCGTGTCCTGATTATTCCATATTTTTCAGTGCTTTTAAAAAAAACTGCAGACAGTATATTTTCTTTAGTGGCAGATGTCGAAAATTTTACATGTGCAGGTCTAGGCACGGTGGCACATACCTCTTCAGTGAAGTATGTAAACAAAAAAAATCTCTAATAAAATAGCGCGAAAGAATATATATATATATATATAATATTATATATTATAAAATATATATATATATAATTATATAATATATATATATATAATAATATATATATTAATATATTAAGTAGTTAGCAATCTGCACAATTTTGCTTGGTGCAAAACGTCCTACCGTAAGTAGTTTATGACATTTCTGCTGTCACAGAGTAATTCCAGCACAAATTTAAGTAGGTATGACGGTTTGCCACTTAACTTTGCCCATCAGAGTATGCTTGTAGCTCATAATTATAAAGCCAGGACGGTTTGGCACTTCATTTTACCCATCAGAGTATGTTTCTAGCTCTTATCAACAAAGGTAGATGATTTGCCACTAATTTTAGCTGTAAAATATGCTTCTAGCTCATATTCACAAAGGTAGGACGATTTGCCACTAAATTTTAGCTGTTAGTATGCTTGTAGGTCACACTCACAAAGGTAGGATGGTATGGCACTTAATTTTACCCGTCAGAGTATTTTTCTGGCTAATATTCACAAAAGTAGGACGGTTCGCTACTTCATTTCGTGTTGTGCGCATGCGCAGAAACAACGGGTAGGATGGTTTGTCAGGTACACCTCTCGTGCTTCCGCCATGACTTCATTTGTGGGTGTGGTCTGCTATTTTTCTTTGCTTTCGCTTTACGTTCGTGCGTTGCGCAGTTTTTGCAAAAGGACAGAATCAGGAATTACTTATATGGTATTGCTGGTTTCGTTTTACGTTGGGGAGTATTTGGTAAATCCCCTTCCTCGCGTTTTTAGGCGGTGCGTCATTCTATAGTTTTCCTTCTTCTGCTTTGCTACGTGTTTGTTGCAGGACTCTTTTCGGTAAGGTCTCTCTATAATTTAATAACTATCCATTAGCAATGACTTATTATATTTTCACGACTTTTTGTGGATCTTAACATTGTGATTATTGTGACCCACAGGCTTTGACTATAATTCTTTATTAAGGGCTCATCTCCTCTTAAAGTTTTACCAAAGTCCACATGGCTGTTCCGGATCAATTTCAGCTACTTGCTATAAATGAAATCGCGGAAGCTCTCAGCAGCAATGAACGCAGTAGGCTCTTCTATTTATGTGAAAGCTTGGACACGGACCACAGTGTGGCTTGTATGAAGGAGATGCTCAGATCAAAAGTGACGCAGCATCAAAACGCTCACCTGTTTCTGGCAGAGCTCATGTGGCGTTTGGGGCGTTTGGATATCCTAAGGAAGGTGTGTAAAGTCAACAGGGATGACTTGGAGAGGACCAGACAAATGGTCCCACGTTTCAGGTAAGACATCCTTTAAGATGAGCTGATGAATTGTAAAGATTTGAAGAATCGAAGTTAACAGTGTTTGTTCCACTTACTGCAGAGTATTGATGACAGAACTAAGTGAGGAGCTGGACACTGGAGATTTGGACAGTATTAAATTCCTGTTAAGCTGCAAATTATCTCGTGAAAAGCTTGAGAAGACAAAGGTAAAAACAACAACAAAAACCCCAAATGAATGAGACATGATTTTGTTTTCACTCACTTTCAAATTTATGTGGGTGGGGGTTTATTACTAACAGCATTAACATGGTAATTTTAATGTAATTTAAATTATTATTAACATGGTGCAGTCAACGATGGGACCCCCCCCCCCCAAAAAAAAAATAAATAAATAAATAAAAAAAATTAAGTAATTGATTAATTAAAAAAAAAACAACATTTTAGACATTTTTGCCATTTCTTTTGTGTTACAGAGTTTTCTGGATATCATTGTTGAACTTGAAAAGCTGGATTCAGTCTCACCAGAAAGACTTGACTTCGTAGAGGACTGCTTGATAAACATTGGCAGGATCGATCTAGTCAAAAAACTGACCACTTACAAGAATTCAGGTCAGTCTGTGTTTCCCTTTTCGCTTTATATACCGAAGGGCTTGAAATAGCATCGCCACGAGAAAGGTTTGTAACAGTTATGCAGTGAGAAGTGGGAAACACTTCCCTACTAGTTACACAGAACTGGGTTAAGTTTTATGTTCCTCATCAGTATAGCATACCCGAAACTATCGATACTCACAATCACTCATAATTAATGCAAATATCTATTTCAGTATTTCAGAAACAGCTGATCTACTTGGATTTTCCCACGCCACCATCTCTAGGGTTTACAGAAAATGAAACAAAAACAAGAACTTATCCAGTGGGCGAAAATGCCATGTTGATCTCAGAGGTCAGAGGACAAGGGTCAGACTGCTTCAAGCTGATAGGAAGGCAACAGTAACCCAAATAACTACTCGTTACAACCAAGGTACCCAGATGAGCTCTGAATGCGCAACAGGTTGAAGCTTGAAGGAGATGGGCAACAGCAGCAGAACACCACACCAGGTGATTTCCATGGGTTCGCCAAAATTGGACGACAGACGATCAGAAAAATGTGGTCTGGTCTGCCGAGTTTCACTTTCTGATGGTTCAGATGGTAGGGTCAAAATTTGGCTTAAATAATAAAAAAGCATGGATTTGGATCAATTGTGCTTTGCATTAATGGTTCGTGCTGTTGTTGGTGGTGGTGTAATGGTGTGGGAGATATTTTATTGGCACCACAGCCTACCTGAGTATTGTTGCGGATCATGTCCATCCCTTTATGACCACAGTGTGCCCATCTTCTGATGGCTGCTTCCAACAGGATAATGCGCCACACGACAAAGCTCGCATCGTCTCATACTGGTTTCTTGAACATGACGATGAGTTCACTGCAATCAAATGGCCCCCACAGTCACCAGATCTCAGTCTGATAGAGCACCTCTGGGATGTGGTTGAACGGGAGATTTTCCACATTGATGCTTAGCAGCAAAGTGTGACGCTATAACGTTGTCATGGACCAAAATCTCTGAGGAATGTTTTTCCTTCACCTTGTTGAATCTATGCCAATGAGAAGAATGGAGGCACTTCTGAAAGCAAAAAGGCATCCTATCCAGTATTAGCAAGATGTACCTAATGATGTGGCTGGTGAGTGTAGTAAGCAAAGAATAGGAAGTTTATTACATTTTCCATACCAAAAACTCAGTATTAAGGGTAAACACCTTTTTTTAGTTTGTGACGACCTGTTCTGAATGTAGCCTTCCTTTGGCCCTTGTTCACCTGGGACTGGCACCCTTGACCCAAAACTGGATAAACAGCTAAGAACATGAATGGACGGATGGACTTTTTTTGTGACTGTGCTCTGTTATAATGTTCAACAACTTTGACGCAAAAGTTAAAAGATTATGATCATGAAAAAATGACATCCAAATGCATTTCAGGTTTATTTAACCCCTGCAACCACAACAGTAGGGTAGATTCAATTTTCAGTACTAATTTAATGCTGTTTATTTAACGCGTTGGCTTGTTTCAAATGTAATAGGATAATTTTTCTTTAAACAGCGACAACAATAGAACAGCAAACACAGAGACATTATGTATGTATATATGCCTGTCTTTTACAGCTGGGGCACCTGAACAGCAGCGAAATTTGTCTCTGCAGCAACCCTGTAGAATTTCTGTGAGTGAGACACTCTGCAGATGTTAGTTCACATTTCCCATAATGTTTTCTCCACTAAAACCATAAAAACAATCTCCTCTTTTGTTTCCTCTACAGCATGTTACACAAGAGCGCCGCATTGGTAAGTCTAGCAAAATACCACAGATGTGTAGCCTAAGACTATATTTTTAATCAAAATACCTTTTCATCCCCATGAGACGCATATTGACTGATATCTAGTCTCACAGGGGCTTTACAGCTGGAAACCCCCTGTTGGCCCTGGTGTTTACTTTCTTCTTCTGTTAACCATATCACTCTTTGTTTGCAGTAGGAGTGAGCCCACGATCAGGTGCCTGCCTAGAGCCGAGCTCTGAGGTGAGGATTCCCCTCCTTCTCTGAGTATTTTGATTATATTTTCAAGTGTTGAATGACTCAGTTGCATTTACGACATTTCCCCACAATCTCATTTGAATTTCAGAGTCAGCCAGATTGCTATAAATTTAAGACTAATCCCAGAGGACACTGTGTGATCATAGACTGCGTGGGTAATGATGGAGGTGAGACACAAAGCACTTTGTACTTTTCTACTTAAACGGAAGTACCAAAATCACAGTGTAGAAATCCTTAATTAGAGGTATAGTCGTGCATTTATAATCCTGCTGGGGGAGAAAAATAAAAGGATGATCACCACATGCTGTAGTAGGTTTTAAAGCTGATGCATCATTGTGTACGCCGGATAAACCTACAGTTATACGCTTATCTGTATTCGATGTATTATTGGGTAGTTTCCAAACGAGGGACCAGCCCCATCCTAGAAAAATTCTTAATGGGAGAAGAACAAGAAAACTATTGTGCTACTCAGATTTGTATTTCTTTGGGAACTTCTTTTACGTCTGCAGCTTTCATGAAAAGGGAAGCTCATTTTACTTATTTGTGGTTTATTAACAGTTGACAAAATGTAGCTATTTTAGAAGGCAGGGGAAATTCAAAGGCTGTGAGCTTCTGAAAGAAAGAGCAATGTGTTGTATTTTATAAGCTTAACGTGTGTTTTATTGTAGCAGTATAATTATAAAAAGTCTGTTGTAACTACAGCTGAAACATAAATTTAGTGTAATTCAAAAACAAACAGTGTAGCACAGTAGCTCAAATTTAATTAAAAGTGCCTTACAGCTGCATATAACTGTGTAACAGGTTTTTACGTAGCAAGTTTTTGCTGTTAAAATGTGCATTTTAATCATTGTATTAAGATCATAAATGTGCACTTACCCTTTCAGTAGTTGTGGTTGCCACTGATCTGTGTTTTAAAAATGTAAAGCTACATTTGTCTTTTTAAATTATTGTCAAGGTGATGCTTAAATTCTCGTTTCATCTTTGCTCACTCCTTCAGAAAAATTGGAACAAACATTTAAGGCGCTTCGCTTCAGCGTGAATCTCCACCAGTATCTGAGTTCTGATGAGGTGTTTTCAGCTCTCGAAAATATTCTCGATAAGATGGAGAAACTCAGAAATGATAGCTTTGTGTGCTGCATCATTAGCCGTGGCACAGAAAGTCAACTTTTGGGCACAGATTCGACTGGCAATGGATTTTCTATCAACGAGGTCAGGCGTCTTTTCAATGCTAACAGATGCCCGTTGTTGGCGGGCAAGCCCAAACTTTTCTTCATCCAGAGATACAACATACCTAAGTTGTCCCTGCGCCCCAGGATGAACCCGGACGATGGGCACCTCGAGACAGATGGCTGTGATGGGGCTGTCACAGCAGCTATTCCTATGGATGCAGATGTGTTCTGGAGTCACTGCTGGACAGATGAGTGTCAGCTGGAAGAAGAGGAACATAGCTCTGTGTATGTGAAGGCTCTGACAAATGCTTTAAACAAAGCCCAAAACAGGTATAAACACTATTTAACTTTACCTCATCATCATGGAAGTTTTCTTATAAGTTTCTTATAAGCTAAACTGTTATTTGTTTGTGCTCTTACAGGAAAATTAAGATTGATGATATTCAAATGGAGGTGAACAACGTCGTCTTTGAACACAGCAGAAGTAATCCTCAAGCCAGCTACCACCTTGATGTAAAACACACCCTGAGGAGAGATCTGTACTTACAATAAAGAATTTATTTACTTTTTATTTGCTAAACACCGTGAAGTATCTGGCACCAGTACTGGTGTTACAGATAGGCCTTAGAGTCACTGTGCCCTGAATTGTGCTGATACCCTTATGTAACTAGATGTTAAATTCAGTTAGTGTGGGGACGAAAAAGTTAAACAGCCACACTGATAATTAGTTAAGGCAGCTCGAACTCAAGTTAATTATTTGCTTAGCAGTAACTTAGTGCTTTTGCAGCACTGAGGAGGCCACTGACTTTGGAGCGGAGGCACCTGTTCAGGTCCTGTTTCCTTGTGATAAAAAAATAGGACATTCATCAGCTTGCGCAGCTTAACTATACTTGTGGACTTCTTAATCTTTGAATGCAGGTGTCTCCATCCCAATGCCCCGGGTCTCCATAATCATGCACCTAGCCGTGAAGTCTGCCTGTACAAACATTTGTGGAAAAAATGGGCCATTCTAAAGAGCTCAGTGGTACGATTGGAAATGAAATTTTTAGGGACCAAAGCAGCTAAGCCATGCAGCGGCTGATCGGCTAAAGTCGTAGAGTGCAGTCGGGCTGAGGTATATAGTGCGTTAGAGTCACTACCACACTGCTGACTCATTAACTGCAGAGCTCATCGGGGATTAACGTCACAAACATAGCAGACATAGTTTGCTTTGAGAACACAATCAATTACACATAAATGACAGCATGAAGGCTTCTCTGTCATTTTATTTTTGTTTTTCGCTTTATTTTATTTCATTTTTTTATGTAGCAAATGAGTCAAATGGCCCTCAATCAAGTTTGTTGCCCTTCCAGTTGTATACTACGGCTGACAGTGTCGGACACACAAGTATTGATGCAGCTCAGAACTTGCTCAAGAAGAACGTTTTTATTGCGTATATAGTGACACCTATTGGTCATATGTAGTCATGACATGTTATAAAACTTTAAATGTGTATTTATTGTTATTATTAACCTTAATTTTCACCCAGCGTGTTGGTGTGTGTTTAATAATATATGTTGTGTTTCAACAGATTTATAATTTTAGCAGATAAATCAACTACAACAGTTCCCAACGTTAACTCCACAGGCAGCAACATTTTAAAACGTAAAGGTTTACCAAACAGGACGCCCAGTCATCCGGACTGTGATGAAAGTTACGGTGTATGGGGGGAAAGCAAAAAAAAGTAGGCTTAAATCTTAAAGATGACTTGCAATATTTATTTATACTCTACGCTGTACATTTGTGCATTTGTAACATTTTTTTTTGTCTTGTTGAAAACAATCTGAGCTAATTTGTGCTTTAAATTATTATTTTTAAAATGTATGCAGAAACCTTGAAAATTTCTCTTAATGAAGGAAACACTATCATGCTTTTTTTTAAGTACTTATATATGTTTATGTATGTGTAAATAGACATTCCCTCTAACTCATGTTGTAATTTTGTAATTTAACCCACTACTGTAGTTTGTTTTTGTCACCATGTAAGTACATTACAGTTTTTCGTTTGTTTTAAAATATGTATCTATGTTAGTGTGCTGCAGTGCAATTGGAAGGATGCTAACATAGTTGATACAAATTTAACATTTCATACAAAGATTTTTGTATGAATTGAAATGTTAAATTTGACATCCATAAGCTATTTTTCGCCTTTAATAAAAGTTAATTGTGTTGTATTTAATATTGCATCTGAAAAAACATGTTTGCATAGTCTATATGTGTTTTTTACTTTTATTTTTTAACATTTTCTATCATATTATGACATGTTGTATTACAACAAGGTTAAAAGAAAAATTAAAATAATGACTGGTACAATGGTTAGATTTGAGCATCAACTTGACCTTTTAGAAGTTCAACTCACCGAGGCCATGTAGTATTTTATTTCCCAAGAAACTCTGGAATCACAGAAAAGCAGTGACATCACATGTTATGTAAATGTAAATGCCCATGCCTCCACTTTGAACAAAGAGTTCTGCAAATAAAATAAATAGTCTACAAATCCAACCTTAAAGACCCCTCATTACGCTTTTTAAAGATTCTGCGCACAATTGCCATCAATGTGAAATTAACGTGTAATTATTTCTCTCTTTATGACATATGTTGACCTCTTTTTCACAGACACTGTGGTACTCTCCACTTTAGAACCTGCTGGGAGCATCAAAGTTGGATCCACTGGTCTCAGTAGCGTTGACAGGCACTACTGCAAGAAAATCACAAACCATGTGCAGCTGCACACTGCAGATTCTGTCTTCCAATATCAGTTATGCTACATGTAAAAAATGAAAGTATACATAAATATAGTGAAATATGCCGTGGTTCTGTAAAGGCAAAGTACAGCAGTAGGAAGTGAAGCTCTGGAAGCTGGACTAGGTTTGATGATGCTGACCTCTCCAGGCTTCCAGCCTTGAGTGCTGCCATATGAACTTTGTTTACTGGAATAGTATGAAAAACGCTATGAAGCAATGATGAAACATTTTCTAGTTTAACAAACTATTTTTTTAAATTAATTAAATATACTTTGAATGTCTATATGTGAATGTACAGAGGTATTTGAAGGTAAATGTACATATATGCACACAGGCACACAGAGAGAAAGACTACATACATAAATATTGTAGTATAAATATAAAACAATGGAACACAGATTATGTAGGTCTGTGAGTGTAATGGTGTCTGTGGCTGTGGTACAGGTATGTATAACTGTATATCTTTGTTGTATGAATATGAATGTGCAGGCATGAATGCACCTGTATGCGTATAGAAGCCATTGGCTGGCCATTTAAAAATGAGAGGAATGTTGCTGTCATAAGAAAGGAAGGAGAGATAAGATCATATAAGGTTATACTTCTTCCTGCTTCCTTTAGAGCCTAAAATGTCAGTTGGTTATACACAGACGAATAATATACAGTGTGTTTTGTTTTATTAAATGTCCACATGTCCATATGTTACCTTATAATGCTTTATATGCCTTATAATATAATGCAGCTGAAAGCCCACTTGAACAGCCAGTGATTTATTTCAAGAATTCCACTCCAGCTTCCACTTTTAGCTCAGTGCATTCTAAGTGTAACATTTACATTTCTTTCAGCGCTTGAACTTTAATCTTTAAGCGCAGACACTTAAATCAAAACTCCAGCTCCCTTCAGCACGTGTTCCACCTCTTTACAAAGCTTCATCAAAATTAGCTGTTTTTTTGTTTGTTTTTTTATGTATGAAAAGAAAGACAACGTACGGAAATGAAACACAGTACAAAAGAAATCCAGTAAAGGTAAAGGTCATAATGTGTGCCACGAAACCGCTGGGTGACAGCAGGAGGCAGGCGAGCTGTACGCGGAGGAGCAGGCGGCGCACAAACATGCACCGTGCAAGCGCACGAGTGGGGGCCTCGTGAACGCGCACGGTTGGGGCTGCTGTTGCTATGATGCAATGGCGACTGCGCCGTGGGAAGCGAGCGAGGAGTTGAATGAGTTCCCTCCACAGTTGAGGACAGGCAGCCGCCGACAGTGCCGAGGAGGGACAGACTAGAGGCTGGGAGACGCTGGCAAGGCCCTGTCCCAACACCCTACATGGAAACACGGATCCAGGTGTGTCTGCTAGCCCCGCAGCTAGCCGTGTCATGACGTTTGGAGACATTTCTCACACATCTGTGCGACGTTGCAGCCACACGGGAGAGGAGGCACCAACACCCTATTTGCTCTGAGCCTGAACCAAGTGAGGTGAGGAGGGGCTGTTGTTGTTTCATTGATAATCTTCTGGGCTTGGTCGCATTGTCCTCTCCTCACCGGGCACCAGTGGATCCGTTCGCCCTTCGTGCTGGACCACCATGGCTGAGAGGAGCTCCACCGGGCTGCTGACGATGATGTTAGAGCCCACGCCGGCTCTCGCTATGACCCTGCCTGCTGAGGTCCGGGAGAAGCTGGCGGAGCTGGAACTGGAGCTGTCGGAGGGTAAGTTGCCAACAACATGTACACAAACTAGCACAGCGAGTGGCCCGGAGCGCGCTTTACGCATTATCCACGCGTGTGACAGCAATCAGAACCACCGCCCTTTTATCTGGGTTTTGTACTCGTGTTTGAAAATATGCCAGCATCACCAGAAAAAAACAATCCAAGGAATCTTGCATCAAACTGAACTTCTGCCTTAGTTTGGCTGGTGACTACTGCTCAGGGACGGGTCACATTAAACCAGACCGGACAGCGTTTTGTTTCCCTAATAATGAAGGCAGTGCCGAAGTTTTTAAATACCACACAGTTACGACTCCAAGTATTTGATCGGGTGGCTCTGTCCTAACAGATGCACCGACACACCCATGATACTGATATGCGAGAGCATAACACCAAAGGGTCTGAGGAAAGATTTGAAAAGGTGTAGAAAAAGTAAGTTACAAAGTCAGAGGCCTCACTTAACACCCTGACCCTAACAAGCCGGCCAATTTATTCAAATATGTGCCAATAAGTGTAATGAAGGGGAAAAGTAAGCATGTGGGTGATTTTGTTTTGTGGATATTGCTCCTTGTTCATTTGCTTGTTTGTTTTATTACTGTGCTTAAGTCGCACTTGTAGGCGTGTCTTCTGTTTGACGCTATATTAGTTCTGAATTATAAACCCAAGCAAAGAAAAAGTTAGAACAAGCTGAAATCTCATCATTTGCTCAATTATTTTGGTTTTATATTTTACTTTTAGGTGATTTTTTTATTAATCTTTTTTGTTTTTTAATCTTTTAGACCAATCATGATGGTTTTCGTTCTTTGTTGGTTGCTTGCACATACTTATAAAAGTTAAGGTTTCTGCAGCACAGACTGTAACAGTTATAATAGTCTCCGATAAGAAGGTAGTAATGAGTTTTTATTGGCGGTTATGTCCATAAAAATTTAATTTCACTACTAGTGAAGCGAGTTAAAGAAATTTTAAATGTTGCAGCTTGAAATTCGCTTGATATTTTCTGTAAACAGCTCCTAAACTTCCTCATATTTGGTGATCATTACACTGAAGCATTGGCACGTAGCTCGGCACTGAGTAAATAAAGATGGGCTTATATTCATGTGCAGTGCTTTTGATGAAAAAGACTCTTGTTCTCACCAACAGTTTCCATTGTTTCCTGTTAATTCAATGAGACTCATTGTTGAACTCCACTTCTTTATTTCTCACGTGGCGAAATTAGCCGAGCTGCAGCAAAGTCTGACTAATTAATGACCTACTTCAAGTCTGATTAGATTTGGAATTTGACCCCAGGGTGGGACCTCTTTTCCCATCAACTCTGGAGAAGATTTTTACTCTACAAACGTGAAAAAAAAAAATAGCGTGAAGTAAAAGAAAACCCACTGATCAGAAAGTCAAAAGTCAAAATCTGGACTGAGTCTTCTCTTCCTGTGTGTCGTGCAGCAGCATCACGCCGGGTTCAGGAGTACACCCGAGGTGCATGCTTTGATAAGCACATTAACTGCGACCCAAACCCTCTAATGGGATAGACATGTTTTCAGGAGCAGCCACCAAACTAATCTATATCTGTCCAGTTTCCTCTTCCTGCTCTCCAAATGTCACATCCTGCCATGTTGAAGCTCTGATAGCTCTATCTCCTCTAGCTTCTCTTCCACTGATACACGCTGTTGTCTCTCCCGCTCCCCCCACCCGCTCGTTCTCACTTTCTCTCCTCACCTCTGTATTTTCTCTATTTTCTCTCACATCAAAGAAAAGGGAATGTCATTTATTTTCCCCTTCTCTCTGCATATCCCTGTGTGCTGCTGTGAACTTTTCACCTTGTGATGTTGCTCCTCAGTCACCTCCCCTCTGCCATCCTGGCCCAGGGCTCAGTAAATGACTCATTTTATGAGAAGTAGATGAGAACTTGAGAGTCGCACAGGTTTTCTATCCTGTTCATTGAGCTCTTCTCTCTGAGACTTCACATGAGGCACGTCTATGTCTGTTGGCGAGACGCATCTTGATGTTTTGTTTTGTTTTTTTACCATGCACGAGAGTGCCAACAGTTGTGTGTGTCCTTGTGAGGGAGAGGGAGCACTAGCATTGTATAATTCATGAAGCTGAATAGATGCGTCATGTATGTTTTCTTAAGCAGTTTGTCTGCAGCTAGCTGTTTGGATAGCATGAGATGATATTCCAGTGTCAGCATCTTAGGCCTGCTGATGTGTGAAATAAACAATCTGTGCACTCTGATTGGGCTTATAATAAAAACTGTTTTCTCCAGAGATGCATTGATTCTCGTATTTTCAAATCTTGTATTTGGATCACAGTGAGTACGTGTTCAGAAATGCTTGATTTCACTCTGCTGGTGTCCTCAGCCGATTTTGTTTTTCATGGAAAATGTCGCCTAAGTAACTCTTTCTCTGTCCCTTTTAATATTGCGAATATGCAGCGTACTTCAGCGATGTTTCCTTATTCAAAAGGCCCATATTTTTTAATAATTGGAAAATGCTCTGCAGTGCAGACTTGAGGCTTCTCCGCTGGAGCAGGATAAGTGAGCACACTGACTTACTTAAACTCTGGATAAAATGTGAAAGTGGTTTAAAGTCAGTAAAAGTGCGATTCTTAGCATTCCTCCATGAAATTCATGACTAAACCAGTGACATTCAAAGCTTAAAGCATCTCCAGCAATATAGCTACTGGTAGCCAGATGTTGGTGCTTTAAAGCCAGATCCATACTGGTTGCTGCTATTTCTGCTCTTGTAGACCTCAGACAGATACACGGGAGTCACATCTGGATATTTTCCACAGTTGTTCTATCCCAAGTGTGGCAACAGCAGGAAATAGTCTGATCTTGACGTGTTTTTGAGGGAGCTGCCCGGTTAGAGTGCAGGGGAGGCATCATACACGGCGTCCACACGCTTGCTGTCTATATAACAGAACGCTTACCCCTTCCTTTCTCATGTGGGCTCTTTTGCCTATCACAGAATTTGTAGCAGCGAGAGAAGTTCAGCTAATGTGTTCTCTGAAAATTTCAGGCTTCATTGCGTGTGTGAAAACGGCTCTAGAGATAAGTGTGGTGTCATC